CAGGTGCCAGACACGTGAGTAATAAACACTCTAGTTCATAAAGGCCCTAGTCGTCAAAACCCAACCTTTGAGTCTTTGCACTGAACCACTGACATCATGGAGCAAACAAGTCATTCCTACTACACTCTATCCAAATTCCTGACCCACCGAATTCATGAACACATTCATTTTTAAGCAGCCAAATTTCAGGATAGTTATGCAGCAACAGTAATTTGAACAACAGGGGATTTAAAAAATCAAGAGTGCACTGGTCCTCTGCTATTGGTCTCAACATCTTATCTAAAAGACAAGTGTGTTGTATTTTTGTTTTTATATTCTAACTTATATAGCCTGTAAAACTTAAGGGCTTCCAATTCGAAATTTAATACATGTTCAAAGCAAATTATTCAATAAATGCTTTTTTTTTTTTTAAAGATTTTATTTATTTGACAGAGAGAGATCACAAGTAGGCAGAGAGGCAAGCAGAGAGAAAGAGAGAGAGAGAGAGAGAGAGAGAGAGAGGAGAGGAAGCAGTCTCCCTGCCCAGCAGAGAACCCGATGCGGGACTGGATCCCAGGACCCTGAGATCATGACCCGAGCTGAAGGCAGAGGCTTAACCCACTGAGCCACCCAGGCAGCCCCTTTAATAAATGCTTCTTGAACAGATTGAAATTACTGATCCTGACATGTGGCTGGGAGTGAGTAAGAAAGACAAAGCTACCCAAAATAGCTCTGGGATATCTAGCTTTGATGACAGATTAGAGATTACTATCACAGCCACAACGAGAAGCAAGAAGGTGAGAAGGTGAGAGAAATGAGGGGGTAGCTTTAGGTAAACTTGTGAATCATTTATCCCTTTAAATGCCTGCAGTAAACAACTCGATGTAAATATAAAGCTCAAAGAAGGGATCTAAATTCCAAATGGCTGAGAAACATTAGCAAGTCGTTGGTAGAACACAGAGAGCTTCCACAGAGAAGGAAGACTGAAGGCAGGATATTAAGGAATACCTCTATTACAGTCATGTGGAAAAAAATGAATCCACAAAGGAGACTCATTCACTCAGCCATGCCCACTCAGCAAATACTTGTTGAATGTATTTACTATATCCCAGACATTGGAGACACAACCTTCAACAAGATAAGAGATAGCTGTATCCTCAGGGAGATTATCACCTACTAGAGGGATGCAAACAAGATGAAATCAATTAAAAGGAAGAACAAAGTGAATGGACAGTTCTAACCAAGACCTGAGAGGTTAGGGTAGACTTCCCCAACGCAGAGCTGGGCAGAGACCTCAAGGATAAATAAACAGAAGTAAACCAGGCAAAAGGAAAGGGTGAAGAAGTGAGGGGCAGAGAGTCTTTCAAAAAGAAAAAACAATTTGCACAAAAGACTTCAAAATGAAAGCTACTCAAGGAATGTAAGAAGGCTAATGCGGGGCACCTGGGTGGCTCAGTGGGTTAAGCCGCTGCCTTCGGCTCAGGTCATGATCTCAGGGTCCTGGGATCGAGCCCCGCATCGGGCTCTCTGCTCAGCAGGGAGTCTGCTTCCTCCTCTCTCTCTGCCTGCCTCTCTGCCTACTTGTAATTTCTGTCTGTCAAATAAATAAATAAAATCTTTAAAAAAAAAAAAAGAAAGAAAGAAGGCTAATGCAGCTGAAGCATGGAGTGTAAGTGGTAAAAGAGACTGGTCTTTACCAATAGAGCTTTGAGGAACCATTCTAAGATTTTAACAAGGGTTTGGCTAGATCAGATTTTCATTTCTGAAAGATCACTGTGGCCACAGTATGGATGGTGAATGGAAACGCCAAGAAACCTGGAGCACACAAACCAGTTGAGAATCTGGAGAAGTAATCTAGATAAGAGACGGTGGTGGCCCCAACTAGAAATTATGGCAGAGGGGACCAGACCAGATCTGACATATTTAAAAGACAGAACCCTCAGAACTTTGTGGCTCATTAGATAATGGGGGCAGAAGAGAGGAATCAAGAATGATGCCCAGGCTTCTGGCTTCAACAACACAAGAGGGGGATAGCACTCACTGAGACAGAGAACACAGGACAAAACAGGTTAGGAAGGCTGATGAGTAATGGAAAATAGCTCAGTCTGGGCAGTGCCAACTTTGAGTAACTTAGAGCACATCTATGTGAGTTGTGCAGTGGCAGTTAGATATGTAAGACACCTGAACTGGATATATAAATTCGAAGTCATCCACATATAAATGGTACCTAAAGCCATGGAGATGGAATCCTCCAGAAATAATACGAATAGAAGAGAACAAGAAGGAATGTCAGGTAAGAAGAATTACGTGAGAGTTATGTGGCAGAAGGAAGGAATGAGTTTCCAAGAGGAAGCCATCAACAATGCTGAATACCATGGGGTCTGGATAAGCTTTGAAATAATGTCCCTCTAATTTATCAAATGAGAGGTCATTGACATCCTTATTAAGAGCTGTTTTAATGTACTGGCTGGAGCACAATTAGATTGGAATAGGTTGAGGAGAAACTGGAAAATAGGAATTGGAAACAACAAAGAGCCTATTTCTTTTAAGAAGCGTGGCTGTGAATGAATGGAGAAAGGCTAAATATTGGAAGAAAAAGTAAACAAAGAGTTTAACAACAACGAAGAGTTTAACTTGTGTGTGTGGTTTTTTGTTTTTTGTGGGTTTTTTTTTTTTTAAGTACAAGAGATCTAATATTTCACATAGAAAAAGAAGCCAGGTGAAAAGAAGTGTCTGAAAAACTGATAAAGGTATATCCAAAAAAGCTATCAAAATGGAGCAGCTGGGTGGCTCAGTCAGCTTAAACATCTGCCTTCAGCTCAGGTCATGATCTTGGGGTCCTGGGATGGAGCCCATGTTTCACTCCCTGCTCAGCAGGGATTCCGCTTCTCCCTCTCCCTCCCAATTCATGCTTGTGCTCCCTCAAATAAATAAATAAAACCTTAAAAAAAAAAAAAAAAAAAAAAGAGGGGCACCTGGATGGCTCAGTTGGTTAAGCACCAACGTTCAACTCAGGTCACAATTCCAGGGTCCTGGAATGAACCCCCAAGTCAGGCTCCCTGCTAAAGCCTGCTTTTTCCTCTCCTCCCCACTTATGCAGTCTCTCAAATAAATAAATAAATACTAAAAAAAAAAGATATCAAAGGACACGGGCAGGAATGGACTACAGACTCAATGCTGGAACAGACCTGATAAATGAAATAACTTTAACTATCTTCCCATAGGATTATTATACATTGCTAATGAGAACATATTGGGGCACATGGGTGGCTCATTCGGTGTCTGCCTGCCTTCACCTCAGGTCATGATGAGGAGTCCTGGGATGGAGCCTCATGTCAGGCTTCCTGCTCAAGGGGAGCCAGCTTCTCCCTCTCCTCCCCAATTGTGCTCTATGACTCTAATAAATAAATAAAATCTTCAAAAAAAAGAATATAAACTAGTATAATCTCTATAAAGGTCACTTGGTACCATCTGCAAAATGTTAAACATGTATATCCTTTGAGCTGACAATTCTAAATCGAGGAATTTCTCCTAAAGATGTACTTGCATTGGACAAAATTACATGTACAAGATAATTCATAACAGCACTATTTGAACCAGAAAAAAATCGGATATAACCCCAATACCCATCAACAAAACACTACTTAAGGAACATTCGTACAAACTAGGTAGGTGTGAAAAAAAATGAGGTGCTCAGGAAAATCTCCTAAAAATAATACACACACACACACACACACACATCCAGAAAAGGGTGTTACCTTTTTTTTTTTTTTAAAGGGTGGAATACAGAATCCCATTTATATTTGCTTGAATATGCATAAAGCATTCTGGAAAGAGAACGTACTGTGGAGGGGGCTCAGGCTACACAGATGGTGGACAAGAATAAAACCTTACACTTTAACCTTTTTATATTTACTACCTTGAGAGCCATAAGACTATGCTACCCACTCAAAAAGTTAAGCTTTTCTGAGATAGTTAAGAAATCTAGTGATGCTAATAGGTTTTCAGACTCAAGACAAGAGAAAGAGAAGTTTAAACAGCAGAGTTTACGCTTTTGCTTCTTTTTCTCCATGCAGTGGCCTGGGAATAGGAGAAACGGGAGAGGTGGCCACAAGACTGGGAGTCAGAAAAATAGTGGTTTGGGATGCCTGGGTGGTTCAGCTGATTAAGCCGCTGCCTTCGGCTCAGGTCATGATCTCAGGGTCCTGGGATCGAGTCCCATATCAGGCTCTCTGCTCAGCAGGGAGCCTGCCTCCCCCCCCCAACTCTGCCTACTTGTGATCTCTGTCAAATGAACAGATAAAATCTTTTAAAAAAATACATAATGAAAACGGACTCGACTAAGAATTCTACATGTGAAAAGAAAAAATAAAGACATACTGGCCCTATTCAATAGGATACAGAACACCTGAAAACTCTTCCATCTGTGGGAAGACGAAATTTAAAGGTCATCTTTTAAGACAACTTACTTAGACATATGACAGCATGAAGGAACGCCCCGACATAGACACTATATTCTTTCCAAAGGTTAGCATAATGCTCGGCACAGGCTGACACTCAACAATTCAACTATTCGAAATATATTCACTCTGGCTTTGGGGGAAATCAAGAAAGGAGCCCTTTGCTTCAAAGTCAAAACAACGCAAACTGTCTTACTGCTCCGCACGCCATTTCAATCCGGGAAGGCGATATCCACTTAGCCAGGAGCAGAACGAGGAGAGAACAAGAATCACCCGCGCAGGAGCGTTAACGCGGTTCCCCGCACCCTCCATCTCTCACAATCCCAGCTTCGTTCCCCTGGAAAATGTTGGGGGTACGACTGGGAACACTTGAGCCGCGAGTAAGGGGGAGGCCGCGAACCCGCAACTGGTTCAGCTCCCCCTCTTTTCCCTCCCTTAGGTCGTCGCAGAGTGTTCTGAGGAGTAACCTACCCTCGTCCGCGTCATACATATTGGCAAACGACTCCGAAGTTCCTAACTCCTGGAATCAGAGAAGATAGCGCAGCAACCAACAACACCCGCAGCATGAGGCGAGTAATTTCCGTCTCCGGCGTTCCCAGAATGCTCTGCTTCTCAGGCCAAAGGCCGCCCACAGAGCCGCCAACGTAAGATCTGCGCCTGCGCAAGTGGGAGGGTACGGTTTGGTGAGGGTTAGAATTGCGCACGCGCAAATCGTAAACCGCCGCCTCCAGTGGCTGATTGGAAGGACGGTTTCTACCGTGACTGTCGGATCCCGCCAATTAAATTTTTTGTTTTTCAATACTGTTGCACAAATAGTGACACCTGAAAAAAAATAAAAATTTATTAATAAGGGGTTTTAATTGAGGCCGTAAGTATGCGGCATTTGATTTTTTTTTTGCACTTCCACAGACCAAAAACATGAAGCTTTCAAAAAATGTGATTCACTAAAAGCACGTTGTGCCAGCGGTGGCGCGCTGAAGAAGCCTGAAAGGACACAAACCCTCACTACCCTCTCCAACCCACCCAGCTCAGCCTAATCGCGGTCGCTTTTGACGTAGCTTTGAACGGGTTCGCCGGACTCAGATCCTTCATCGCGAGAACTCACAGGATGAGAAGCGAAAGGAGATGTCGAAGTGCGCTTTCCGACAAATGACAGCCCACCGGTAGTCCCGGGCTTAAGTCAGGTTTTAATGCGCATCTCGAGCCCCAGTGCGCCTGCGCGCACGTGGCTCCGCCCCTTTACCCGGGGTCGCGTTCAGCATGCTGCCTGCACGCCTCACCCGCCTGGTGCTGTGGCCCTTCCTGCGTGGATCCGCTCCCACCGTAGCGCACCATGTCCCTCGGGAGCCCCTTCTCCAGAGATGTCCGGCCGCCTCCTCCTCCCAGCACCCATCGGGCCTGGGACATAGGCTTTCCAGTGGCTCAACGGCGACTGGGGGTTACGAAGGGAGGACTGACACGGAGGAGCATTTTCTGTTCCCCGAGTACGTCCCAGAGCCCGAGCCCGCGCCGAACCTCGAAGAGCAGCTGCGAGAGCTGCAGCAGCGGCAGGAGGAGGAGGAGCGACAGAAGCAGCAGCGGCGGGACGAGCGGCAGCAGCAAAAGGTACGGGCCGGCAGTCGGGTACACCCCGTCGTGGGACACCCGGACCCGACGGTGCGGCCCAGCGGCCTGAACTGCTCGGGCTGCGGAGCGGAGCTGCACTGCCAGGACCCCGGCGTGCCCGGCTACCTGCCCAGCGAGAAGTTCCTCAGCGCAGCGGCGCAGACCGACGGCGGGCTGGCGCGAACTGTGTGTCAGCGCTGCTGGCTGCTGGTGCACCACCGGCGCGCCCTGCGGGTGCAGATGAGCCGCGAGCAGTATCTGGAGCTGGTGAGCGCGGCTCTGCGACGCCCGGGACCCGCCCTGGTGCTCTACATGGTGGACCTGCTCGATCTGCCCGACGTCCTGCTGCCCGACCTTCCCGCGCTGGTGGGCCCCAGGCAGCTAATCGTGCTGGGGAACAAGGTGGATCTGCTGCCCCAGGACGCGCCGGGCTACCTGCAGCGGCTGCGGGAGCGACTGTGGGACGAGTGTACCCGCGCGGGGCTCCTGCGGTCCTGTGGCCACCGAGGGCCCCAGCACGCCGGCGAGGGTGGGCAGCCAGACTGGACAGAGAATTCGAATACTTCCGCCAGGCCCCGCACGGTCCTCCGGGATGTGCGGCTCATTAGCGCCAAGACTGGCTATGGCGTGGAAGAACTGATCACAGCGCTTCAGCGCTCCTGGCGTTACCGCGGCGACGTGTACTTGGTTGGCGCCACCAACGCTGGCAAGTCCACTCTGTTCAACACGCTCCTAGAATCCGATTACTGCATCGCCAAGGGCGCTGAAGCTATCGACAGAGCCACCATCTCCCCTTGGCCTGGTGAGTCTTAGGAGGCCCGCCCCCTTTTCTGAGATGCTGAAAGTCTGGTTGCAGCCCAAGTACCTAGTATATCCTTTCTTAATGTCCACCGGGGGCTATCTGGAGCCTTCCATTTAAAAACTCTTCCTGGGGCGCCTGGGCGGCTCAGTCCTTAAGCCTCTGCCTTCCTCTCAAAGCATGATCCCAGGGTCGTGGGATGGAGCCCCGCATCAGGCTCCCTGCTCAGCCGGTAAACCTGCTTCTCCCTCTCCAGCTTTCCCTGCTTGTGTTCCCTCTCTCGCTTTCTCTCTCTCTCTCTGTCAAATAAATAAATTAAATCTTTAAAAAAAAAAATTCTCTACTTTGGTCACACCTCTCTTTTGTGTCAGTCTACTGCTTGGAAATTTAGTATATGTTAGTCATTTTCTCAAGGGAATATTTATGGAGCACTTCTATGTTCCAGTCACTGTTCTTTAGGCACTGTAGATGAACCAGGGAACAGAGCAAGAATTCCTACTCTCTTTGGAGGTTTTCCTGATAGCTTTACTTCTTTGTTCCTCTGGAAAGTCCGTCTTTTTACTTTTTTTCCTTCTTTTACTTCCTAAACTTCCACCCACTCAGTCTTACTCTTCATATCTTAAGTTAATTCATGAGATCAGTATGCTATACACACTTAACACTTGAATAATTCACTAATGCTAAATGATTTGTGGCTTTGAGAAAAAAAAAATGTCAATTTTGTGGGTTTGTTTTTTTTTTTAAGCTCTTATTTATTTATTTGGGAGAGAGACCGAGAGCACATGAGAGGAGAGAAGGTCAGAGGGAGAAGCAGATTCCCGGTGAAGCTGGGAGCCCGATGTGGGTCTCTATCCCAGGACTCCGGGATCATGACTTGAGCCAAAGGCAGTTCCCCAACCAAGTGAGCCACCCAAGCGCCCGGGTTTGTTTGTCTTTTTTTAAGATTTTATTTATTTATTTGTGAGAGAGCACAAACAGGGGAGCTGCAGGTAGAGGGAGAAGCAGGCTCCCTGCTGAACAAGGAACCCGACGCAGGGCTCCATCCCAGGACACTGGGATCATGACTGGAGCTGAAGGCAGACGCTTAACTGACTGAGCCACCCAGGCTTCCCTCAACTTTGTGGTTTTTAAGAAACTTATATAATTGCAAAATGGGTCCCTCTGTGACCCTGTTGGTATTTAACAGTTGGCAAAACTGCCTCATTTGTTCCTTTGAAACCAGTGTTTAACTTTAATAAGCTGTTCTTCTCTGTCCAGGATTTTGGCTAAATTACACACAGAAATGCTTTTATCCTGGATAGTAATACAGTGAAAATGGAAAGAAAGCAGGTCTTCAGATTGGGGATTCAAACCCAGGTTGAGCCCTTGGGCCTGTCTCTGAGCCCATTTCCTCATCTGTAAAATAAGAATGATCTTGTAGACGGTTGTCATGAAGGTTAAGTGAAGTAAATTGCAGTACACAGGTCAGTGTAGCTCCTCAAAAATGTTAGTTTTCCTCCCCTTATTCCCTCTTCTTGGACAGTGTTTATAAGAACATATTTATTCTTTGGCATTTCAGGTACCACATTAAACCTTCTGAAGTTTCCTATTTGCAACCCAACACCTTACAGGATGTTTGAAAGACAAAAAAGGCTTGAAAAAACTGCAGCTGAGGCTGAAGAAGATCTTAGTCAGCAAGAACAACATCAACTTAATCACCTGAAAAAGCATGGTTATGTAGTAGGTAAGCATCTTCTATAGGAGAACTCTTGTTGGGGCTATGCTAAAATTTTTTGTTGAACAACCCGAAATACAGCTGCCTAGGGCTAGCCAGTTTTTGTGGGGAGAGACTACTCTCCTTGTTCTGGAACAAAGAGGCCCTTGAGAGACAAGGCTGCTGTTTGGAAACCCAGAGTTCTTTGTGCTAAGAAAACTGAAACAGTAGGTACTTGGAGAAATCCAGGAGGGGAAACCTGCAACAACTGCCCACCCAGCCGTCGTCAGCAGTGGAAGCATTTTCCCTGGGAAACAGCACCCTCTCCTTTCAGAAAAGCACAGGTTGTGGACTCCATGTTGCAGCTTTAAATCAGGTTATTGTCCCTCTTCCCTTGGTATCTTTTTTCAACCTTCTTTCACTGAAAACAGTTTGATTACCAGCACTTCCCCTCACCAACACCCCCGCCCCAGCCCCTGCCCAGTGTACACAGCTAGCGACATATTTGCCATTGCAAGAATCTGACCTCCACTGCCTTTGAAAACGAATAGCAAAGGTATCTTTGTAGTCTTGCTTCCCTACACCATAGTTAGTCTTACTTAGACTTATTTTTGATGCAGGTGAGGAGAATAAGAATTACCTGTCTGGAATCAAAAGCTTCAAAGGAGTGACTAACAGCTTAAATATAACTTGTTCTAGGAAGAGTTAGAAGAACATTCTTGTATTCAGAAGAACGGAAAGAGGAAGCTGCCTTTGAGTTTGATGCTGATGCACTTGCTTTTGACATGGAAAATGAACCTGTTGTGGTTCCAGATAAATCCACCAAACGAGTAGAATTGACCCCGCAAGATGTGAAAGATGCCCACTGGTTTCACGACACCCCTGGAATTATAAAAGAAAATTGTGTATGTATTTGATGTCTTTTGGAACTATGAACTTTCAGTTGCACGAGTGCCGTCTTCATTGGCAGAACCCAGGAAAGGCATATCCTTTCACTTTAGACTCAGTTCTGGTTTCATTCATAGAAGCAGTTTAGGGTGATCTATGTGCCGTCAAGATCTGTATTCCATTTGGTAGGCTCCACTGCTCACAACCTCTTTGTGTTATTGTGGTTGTTACTTCATTAGGGAGACATTTATAAAATCCTAGATTTTGAGGTTGGAAGAAACATAACTATCACTGCAGTTCAGCCCACCCGTTCAGTGCTTGAATTCCCTCTAAACATACCCATCCAGCTTAAACTGAAATAAGGAGGGACTCAACCATCCCCTGAAGCAGTGTTCCCTTGTCTCCCACGGTATCCCATTTGGCCTTTGACCTGCTTTTAGTGTGGAGCTGAACAGTCTCGCTGTAACTTGTACCCTTTGTTCCTCCAAATGGTCCCATAGGGAATGAACATAATGCCTGTTTCCTCTGCTAGACTTTGAACTACTTTAAAGTGCCATGTCCTGTCTCTTCCTCACTCTATTCTGTTCGCCCAACAAATACTGAACATTTACTGTGCTGACATAATGCAGATGATTTCTCTGTTGCTTGCAACTGTTCTGAGAGATAGGCTTTTCATTAACTCAGGCCTCTTTTCAGACTATCTTCTAATTTGTTTCTGTCTTTAAAATATGACTAAAGGGTGCCTGGGTGGCTCAGTAGGTTAAGCATCTGCCTTCGGCTCTGGTCATTATCCCAGGACCCTGGGACGGAGCCCCAAATCAGATTCCCTGCTCAGTGGGGAGTCTGCTGCTTTCTCTCCCTTTGTACCTCCCCCCTGCTTATGCACGTGCTCTCTCTCTCTCTCTCTCTCCTTCTCTTTCTCCCCCTCTCTCTCTCCCTCCCAAATACATAAAATCTTTTAAGAAATATATGACACTGGGGCACCTGGGTGGCTCAGTCGTTAAGCAGCTGCCTTAGGCTCAGGTCATGATCCCAGGGTTCTAGGATCGAGTCCTGCATCTGGCTCCCTGCTCAGAGAGAAGTCTGCTTCTCCCTCACCCACTCCCGCTGCTGTTTCCTTTCTCGCTGTGTCTCTGTCAAATAAATAAATAAAATCTTTTAAAAAATATATACATGTGACACTAAGAACTAAAGTTACTAAAGAACTAAAGTATAAAGTACCTTCAGATGAGTACAACTTAGAATAAGATTAA